CGTAGATGAATTTGACTTTTTAAAATCATTTTACACTGTAAGTTGCATGTATATCTTGTTTTGTCAATTCACTCATTTAACTACGGTTCGTTTTTTACACGACCCTGTTTGAATGTAAGAGTAATCTCATCCAAGACCCTATCCAACTTATGACAGAACAAGACCTCAGATATTCCAACCTGATTATAGTGGTTGCATACGAGAAAGCGAAAACTCAAGTAGCGAGTTTACAGAAAGAGTTGTTCGAAATTGCCCAACTTAAAACGTCGACAACCAAGTCACATTTTCCTATCCTTACTGAATAATATTTAAGTGCAAAGTACTTTTTCTTTATTCTTTTGAGTACATATTTATGTTTAAATTCTAGGAAAAAAAAACTTAAAAAAAAACCTTCTACAAACGTTTTGGCCTTACGTTATAGCTATATTTGTCGATATCATTTGAAGTAGGAACGGTGGCCATATTCTGCCAGCGAGGTTATTAAACTTCATCAAAATCTCGCTATCATGTATACCGGGAAAAGAAAATGAATCAAATTCGTTGTTTTTTATGGTGAATTACTGTCTGTGTCACCGATAAATTTGGACGAGAGGCAAAATATGATTTTCTAGCTTACTGAGCTTCGCTTGTATTTGAGACGGCCACGTGCTCCACCATCTACGAACTACACAGGGCTTTCAAAATGATAAACTATAAATAAAATTTGCTGAGTGAGCATTTGGCTTCGTTTCTACTCGCAATTTTTCCTTTGAGAACAAATTAGTTTAAAACAAGAACATTCAACAACGAAATAACTTAACTTTAAGTTGGACTCACGGTCGGAACACAAATTTCAACCGTACAGACGATAAATTTAACAAGTATAATTTACCTGGTTTTAACATCCCAGACTGTTTCGTTCATAGTCAGCAGTTTGTGAAGCAAACTGAAAGGCAGTTTAAACGGATGGGCAGTTTAAACGAGAGCGTCTTGCTTCTCCTTCGTGAGCAACCTTCGCCATCTCTCACAACTGAAGTTTCCAATTTTTGAATGTGGCGCGGAGCAACGTTTGATTTGAATAATAATTTCTGATTGGATTTTCTTACCGCACGTGTCTATGTAGCAAGCCAACAAGTCAAGCCTGTCAGGCCATTTGGGACCGTGTAAGGTTAATTAACATTTCAAATAAATTCGGCCTTGGGCGAGTAACCATTTGAAAAGCGGAAAAAATCGGTTCCAAGGATTTATTTAGAAAAACGAAAACTAAAAGGGATTTCCTGTTTTCAATAGACCCTTGTTTCAAATACGGCTAATCAATTTCATCAAGGTATTCAAGGCAGGACCGCGCGCGCAGGTGTTTTTCAGGTGAGGGGGGCAGTGGATTCCAAAGCGTGGGGGGGGGGGGGGGGGGGTGGTCCGAGGACGTCTCTATGCCCGTTCTAATGATTCTAGCTGTTACAAGAATGCTAGGATTAACATATTTCTCCTAGTAAAGAACGGATTAAGAAGTCGAAAAGCTGAATGGACTGAGTGCAGTGTGTTTTCCACTTTTGGAGAACCAGCCTGAAATTCCTATCACTCTCTTCGGGCTTCCCAGCATGCCTATTCACTTCAAGTGCTTCCTATGACGTGGTTACGGTATTGCAGGAGGGTTTCGCTACGATGTGCGGTGCTCAAACTTTTCTTCCGTTTCGAATATCTTCCGCGAGATAATGGCTGCATGATAACTTGATCATTATGTACGTCGATGCAAGAAGAACGAAAAGAGAAAGAATACGTTTTCTTGCTTCACACTTTCCGCAAGAACCTTAATCTAGTCAAAAAACGTAACGCATGTAGCGAAGATCTTGAAGATTTTTTTATTTTTTCGCACAAAAACTTGGTTAAGGGGGGGGGGGTGGGGGGCAAGGGTCCCTTGGCCCCACCCACTCCGCGGGTCCTGCAATGACGAAATTTGACCATAGTTTCTTCTCTAAGCAGGATAAACATCCTGGACAATTAATTACCACTCAAAGCAAGAATACTTGGCAATGTATTTTTATTATTTTTGACCTTTTAAGGCTATTTCACTGCCTAAGTATGTGTCAACACTAAGGTGGCGACCATTTTACTTTTTACTCAAGCATGGCGTCCATATCTGGATAGTTACGCTCCCATGGGATAACTCTTCATCAGGGTTTTGTCCCACACGTTTCACTGTAACTGGGGCAAAATTTCTTGTGTTTTTACTGGGGTCTTCGCTTTAAGGTGGAGTCCCCAATGGAGAATGTTCGGTCGCTATCAACTAAAATATAATAGAGTGGTCTAGAATCACGTTTACGGCAAACGTGAATTTCTACCACGTGACCAAGTTTTCCCTTTACTTGTCTTTAACTGTTCTCTATTAGGATCAAGTTTAGGTTTCTGGTAATCTGTCCACCTACTCCTCAAATAGGCCAACATTTTCACTTACTTCTCATTTAGGGCAAAATGTTAGCTTAGGGGAGGGGTAGGTGGGCAGTTTTCCAGAAACCTAAAATTGATCCCTTTATTTCCACAAAACTGACTACTCACATTATTTTCACCTATAAGAATTGTTTTGGACTGTTTTTTATCAAGTTATTTTCTATTTTGAGAAATTCTTTAGCTGAATCTGCCATTTGCCGTAACCGTGACTCTAAATCTTTCTTAAGTTCGCATTTTTAAAATGCAGTGTTAATAAAACTTTTCATCAGTTATCAGGGCGCTGATTAAATTTCCTTAGGCGTTTTTTGGTGTTGTGGTATTTACTGAACGTGCTTTTCCTTGTTACACGGCAGTGGCGCGAGTTGGTTTCAAACGTCGTGCAACTGCAGCCATGTTGAACTCAATTCATAAATTATAAATACGTTAGAATACATTTTCAAGGTTTACTAAACCGCTCTTTACTTTTAAGTTTGATTTTCCGCAAAAGCTATTTCACTCAACTGAGTTAAATTCGACGTCTGAAACCAGGTCACGCTACAGTCGTGCTGAAGTCGTACCAGCTTAGAACGGCTGTAACACGATGTTTGAAACAGGCCTTATTTAACCATGAAACAGTTATAAATACACAAAGGAAACGCAGAAGGTTAATTTTTTTGCTAGTTTCCACTAATGAAACATTGTCTTAAATAAGGAATTATTTTTTCAACGAACATACACAGTCATAAATAGAATATTAAATAAACAGCTTAACAATCGGGATGCGTGCACGTGAAACTACGTCCTTTACATTTAAAGTGTTTCCTCACTAACAACATTGATAATTATAGAACTTAAATTATTTGTATATTCCGGAACGCTTCATTGTCGAACCATAAATAGATTACCATTATTAAGGCTAATTGTTCACGTTCTACCGGATGGCTTTTGCGCAGGAGCGAAAATCGTACCGGCTACAACTTCTGTTCACACACACGAACGGTGATTTCGGCGCGATTTCTGTGACAAAGCGAAGCTGCGACGCGCGCACGTCGCGCGCACAGACATTCAGACCGTTGCGGAAGTGAATAAGTATAAAAGGGGACTGGAACGAAATGAGACGGGTAAATATTCAGGAATGAGGACTGGGATTTAGTTCACCAAACCCTCTCGGCCAACCGTTCCGGCATGATGTTCGATGTGTGTGAATGACTTGTTCCAGTTCAGTACCGTTGCTGTTCATACTTTATCGGGTAGCTTTCGTGTGGGCGCGAAAAGCACTGTTTCCGGTAAGTTGAACATAAACTAATTCACTAAACGAGTTTATCGTAGTAAGAACTACTCTGCTTGACAAAAGTTTAGCTATTTAAATGGCCTTAAATACCGTATTTTTATTTAAGTGATACTAGAAAACAGTTTCAAATACAGTCATAAATAGATAAAATCTTACACCTTAAAGACAAAAATTTGTGCGCTTCAGTTTTTCTGTCATCGAATTACTGACAATTCGTGGAAACATTTATCTTGCTTTAAGGGAGGTTACCAAGAGAGCGAAACTTCCTTATAATTACGTTAAAAATTGATATATTCTAAATATAACCTCCACTTTTAATCGGGTCGTGAAATTTAATTGCTACGATCTGTGATTAGTTGAAAAAATTCGCTTTAGTTTGTGATCTCCCTCGCACACAAAGTCTCGTCGCGCAATGATCCTCCTCAAATCTCCTCCAATTTAGCCAATCACAGTCACGGTTACATTTTCAGAACTTTCGCGCGCGTCCAATCATAGCTTGTATTCCATTAAGAGGAGCGTTGCGTGACGAGAAAAATAAGGGCCGCAGGGAAGACGTTTCTTTCTTTCTTAACCAATCATAAAACGAAAAGTAATAATGAGTTACCCATAAGCATTTTCCCGCCATTTTTTCCCGCGCTTGGCAAGCCGCACCCGCTAAGTGTGATCTGATTGGTTCATTTGATCGTCAACTGGAGTTGACGACGTTACTCAAGTTATAATTTCATTTTCTAATTTGTTTTGAACTTTTTAGAATTTTATGAAATATAATAAGCAACATTTCTTAGTTAAATTTGGAATTTACACACTTTCGGAGACGAAGGATAAGTCCTCCCCCGAAACATACCGCCAATTCATATTTAATAAAAAACCAGAAAACTCTCTAACTATATATTCATAACATAATACGACTAATAAATAGATTTTCTTCATGTTAAAAGAAACATTACCTCGTAAAAGCAAAACATTTAAGAAGCTAAGCAAAACTTTCCCCTCTTATTCACGACTGCTTCCAGTCCGCCTTTTGTCTAAAAATCCGTCCAGTACTCACCCCAGCGATTGCAAACAACGACGTTACAATAAGACATTTATACGGCCTCGTTCATCGCGGCTCACGGCCTTACCGCTCGCGTTCATGGGTTAAGCATGGAATAACTTTGCAAAGAGAAATAAGAGACTCAGGCTGCTCGCAGTCTGTGTATGCACAATTGACTGTGGTGCACCATTGAACTACCTGCGATACACTAATGTGTACTGATTTTCTTATGTCCTCATCCTGGTGACTATGGCAAGAAAAAAGCTTGTAATATCAAACATCCCACGTGTCGTCAGATGACTCTGTCGAGGCCGCCTCTGCTAACGGTTGAAGGCTGTTACTGCCTTCACCCTGATGACAAAATGTAAGAGCAAATGAGCATAAAGGGTTAGGATAGAATTCGCCAGGCAAGAGACTTTCGATCATATTCTTGGGGAAGTAATGTATATTAGTAAAATCCAACTAGTGGTCTATTATCAATACTGCGTTCTGATTGGTTGAGCCACTACTAGGCTATATGTTATAGCCCACTAGTAGCGAAAAGCGCGGGCTTTTTGGCGGCAAAAAGGGATTAAAGTCTAGCTTTAACTAGCTAAATTTTTTTTTTATTCTCGATATTTTCGACCAACTAGTTGGATTTTACTAAAACAATTATTCCTCTCGCCCTCATGGCCTCTGAGTCAATAGCCCATTCGGCCTTCGGCCTCGTGGACTATTGACTCAGAGCCCATTCGGGCTCGAGGAATAATTATTAATTACACCAAATAAATTACAATTTCAACCGCGGCAGGATTAACTCAGTCATTAGAGCGCTTGACTACAGAGCGGAAGGTCGAGGGATATATTTTCGGGACCGGACCAATACTCTGCAGGGTCTTAAAACAACTGAGAAGTGAAGGTACAGCCTTAGCCCTGAAAACAAAAAGACCTTCGCATAGCTTGGATGACCACGTAAAATGGCGGTCCCGTCTCCAGTAGGAGAGGTAAAAATAGTGTCCTCAATTAGTACTAAAGTACGAAATACATTGAAACTCAAATATAGTAAATTTTTCCCACAAGACTTCATGTTTGACAGAACTGTAATTCGCAACGCCGCCACCGTTTTCCCTGCCAAATGACGTCTGAAGAATGAGCGGAGAAATTCCATACTGATAACGTTTCACTACCCAGATCTGGGTAGTGCTTTTTATTGGTCGTGCTGCAAGGAAGTTTGTTTCAACCAATCAGAAGCAATACCCAGATCTACTAGTAACACGTCATCAGAATGGAATTTCTACAGTCGTTCCTCAGACGTCACTTCGCGGGGAAAACAGCGGTGCCGTAGCGAAATGTCTGCTGTTTTCGCAGGCTGTAAGTTTAGGTGAGGATTAAGGTAAGGGGACATTTCGTGATGTCTACCATAAGGAGCATGAATCTGATTAGTGTCGACGTCTGGACATGACAACGGACAGGACAAACATCTGAGACTACAGGCACAAATAGCGTGTATAACGATACCTGTTTATTTTGGGAGTTCGCTGAGGAAGCCTTCTGACAATCTTTATGCCACGAGTCAATCAGCTCCCAAAACTTCTTTTGATTAGCAATAAATGTGTTGTTCTGGAGAAAAACAAAACCAGTTTAACGTCGTTCACATAATCGGCCTTTTAAAAAAACGTTTAGTCTAGTTTGACAGAACTGGGTATATTCAAATTAAACGCCAAAGATCAATTGTTCGAAAAGTGGGGTTAATTTAACTCATTGCAGTGGAGTTACATTTTGGGAAGTTATTTCAACTTCAAAAAGGAGTTTAAAGAACTCTTTTTCAGGAGTAAAAATGATCCCAGATATTGAGGAGTTAAAATAACCCCAAAAAAGGAGCTATCCTGTACCTAAATTTTTTACTGCACTTTCAGAGTTAAATGAACTCCAAAAAGAGTAAAAACAACCCATGTAAGGAGTAAAAATAACCCCATTTTCGGATTTATTTTAACTCCAGACTGGGAGTAAAAAGAACTCTTTTTTAGGAGTAAAAATGACCCCAGATATTGAGGAGTTAAAATAACCCCCAAAAAAGGAGCTATCCTGTACCTAAATTTTTTACTGCACTTTCAGAGTTAAATGAACTCCAAAAAGAGTAAAAACAACCCATGTAAGGAGTAAAAATAACCCCATTTTCGGATTTATTTTAACTCCAGACTGGGAGTAAAAAGAACTCTTTTTCAGGAGTAAAAATGACCCCAAATTTGGAGTTAAATTAGGAGTTAACGTAACCCCCCAAAAGGGGTTATCCTGTACCTAAACTTTTAACTCCACTTTTGTAGATATAATAACTCCTTAAAAATTACGGTGCGCTATCCACTGTATAAGTCTCCGTCTATCCAGTGGATAGGGCAACGGGTCTCCCTAATAGTTATCCAACAACGCTATCCAACATTTAAACAACCGTGACCAGAAGTGTACAAAAAATTGACGATAAATTACCTCTTGCTGTAAAATCTTCATTTTCTTACTCTGTTGAGCTAACTTTTCCTTAAGCTGAAAACGACAAAAGAAAAGAAACCGTAGCCAAGGAGAATGAACAATCGCGGCGGACACTGATTTTTTACCTGCCGGTAAGCTTTGGGTTCATATCCCACTAAAGACCAGTCATCAGTTAAATAAAGAGACCTTTAGAATTGAGGTCGAGGACGACTACGACTACGAGATTTGATTTAAAGTTTTTTCGCCTATTGTCAAAAAATAGACAACCCGGAATTCTTCATAGCACTTTTTTTCACCAGAAAAGTTAGCACTTTTATCGTTATTGAAGGAGCTTAAGACCTCTCCCGATTGCAAAACGCTAAAACTTCTAACATTTGATAACTTGTTCCCGCCACTACGACACTCTCGTTAAAACTCGTAGTAGAATGACGGCGGCTACCACGTTTTCCCGCCAAAATGACGCTCGTCCACGCGCGAGCACTACTTACTATTGAGAAAATCTCGCACTCGTAGTCATTCTCGTCTTAGAATCTAAAGCTCTCTAAAGTCAATACATACATAACGGAATTGAAACCAGTACAATACTGTAGATAATAAGTTTCATAAGTAGGTGGAATCAAGAGAAAATAATGGGACAGAGCCCAGTCTAGCCGTTGGGATATGTGAATTTCACCAAAGTTATTTTTAGACAAATTAAACCCTTGAACTTAATCGGAAGATATTTTCCGGAGAAGTCCGCAAACTTTTAGAATAAGGGGACATCATGCTCTCATTATGCTCCCTTAGTGTGTCGACATTACAATATTCTGCATTGTTTGCTTTGAGACAGGCGCGCGCGGACTGCATGACGTTTCAAACAACCGATTAAAATGTAGGGGGCCCCAGGAATTCGATTTTCGTTTAATTACAACCTCTTAAAATAACTTGAAAGAAATTCACATATCCCGCCTAACGCCCTAAGACTTCCTCTCAGACCCCTTATTCCCTCCTGGTGGATCATGATCATGCGAGTGAGTGATGACCTTAATAGGACATTTGTTGACAGTGACTGACGTTGCGACAACCTGTTCGGTAGTCATCTCCAGAATAAAAGTGAGATGTATCATTGAGTCTCCAGCACTGTAATAATCGTTATATTAACCTTGGCGTTCTCCTGTTGCAGCTGTAGTAACAAAGCTTTCATTTCTTCTACATCGCCTAGGATGCAGGAATAAAAATTCCGTTAACAAATGTTTAACTTAGTATACAACGAAATAAAATAATTTAAACAAAATCTAACAAAAACTTGACGATTTGCTCTTACTTGGCTGAAGATCGCACTGAACTGCTACTGACGACAAGGAAATCCCACTACAACATAAAAAGTGCAAAAATTATCCTTGAGTCGCTAAGAAAGACCAACAAGTGATTTGCCCTTAAAATACCACACTGTAAACAAACATGAAGGCCATGAGAACAAAAGAAGTGACTATTAATTAACAGGTCGTGATTGTAAAAACAAATTCTCCTTGTCAGCACCTTACTAAAATGGTGTATGGAGGATATGTTGATCCTAGGGTTTAAGGATTTGTTTTTTCATAACAGGAAACGTGTGTGGCAGGCGCCGGTTAGCCCTATTTTTTTGCGTGTGCGCGTCCTCGAAAATTTCTCCCTTCGCTCTTGACAGAAAAAAAAAAGCCAACGGCTACATTTAGGGACTTTAGATGAAGTATTTCCAGAAATTCTTGACTATCATATGAACCTCTTAAGCAGTACTTTCACATGGTACTATTTACTTTGAAGGATTTGTTAGGAAATACCCTTTCGATTTTTTTTGTTGACTCTCGATTTTACCAGCAGCTAGGAGTCAAAAGATTAACCTGAAACTTATAGACGGGTGAGTTTAGAAGGAAAACTACTCACTTGCTTCTAGATGAGGGCGACGCATGGCCATCTATGGGAATATACTCAGACTCACGGAGCTCCTGAAAATACGACGAGAATGACAAATAGGAATCAAAGAAAAGCAAGGTAACAGAGAGTCTTGGAATAGAAGTGGTCTATAGAACACGCGCATGACCGACGCACAAGTGACTGAGTGATCTGAACTTACAGGAACAACGATAGAAGTTTTTCATCGTTCAGTAAAACCAAATGACATCTTTGCATTGCACTAAAAGATACCTGACTTTAAAGTCTACTTCAGTAATAGACGGTTTGAATCCAGAAGTCATGTCATAATTAAAGGGAATGATCGTCAGTGTGAGTGTAGTCCTCCATAGACCTTTTTGTCGATACGGCGGCCATATTGAATTAATTGCCCGGGGGGCATGAGCACGATCCGATATACTCGCATCAGTATTTTCGCGCGCTTTTTGAGCCAATTTTTCTTTAAGTTTTCCTAGAAAAAAGATTGTAATGGCAATTCCTACGTCAACATACTTAGTGTGTGTGACAGCGGATGGGCGTCTAAATGAAATCGGATTCAAGCCGGTGAACAATAATGTATAATGGATTTTTTTTGCTGTTGATGTCTTTGATTAATGATTTTAAACAAATTAAGATCTCCAATTGTAGGCTGGCAAATCAAACGCTTACATTTTTCAACCAATCCGGTACCGTGCTCTCAGAATTGGAGAGATTGCGGTCACGACTGGATGCGGTAGCCTGGGACGAGGTTCTACCAGAGTTGCTGCCCGATTCCATGGAAATATACTCTGCCTGATCAAGCTCCTAAAAGACGAAAAGAAGTTTATCCAGTTAACTGAAGGAAGGTATTCATAAATGCCAAATGGAAAATCGTAATTGGGCACCAAGGGTAGCCTACTTCGCAGACGTAATTCAGCCTCCGTTAGTAACGTCTGCGAAGCAACCCCCAGCTCCTTTTTCTGGGTCCCCAATGGACTCAGCGAATTAACGGCACTGCATTTTGAATTTCCTTTCATCCTGATTGGCAAATCCACAAGGCCTTTCAGGGTGCGCCAAAACCTATGTCCTGTTGTCCGCGACAGGTAGAAATTTAGTTCGGCCATGTAACCCTTTGACATGACTTGTCCGTGGGACAAGCACATTTTTAATTAGAAAAAATACGGGAACAGTTGAAAATTGACTTCAACTCACTGTAGAATTAAAATTTACCTTATAGTTATAAAAGAAAACCTCATACTTGACAAAATAAGGTTAAATATTCCGTTTAACTTCGCTATACCGCGACCATTTCATTTGTTTTTACGAGCTCCATTTGGCTTAGGAACCTTGCAAAACGTCTTGGATAAGAACTCTTGGGTATTGGACAACCAAATTTAATATAATGCTTGTCCGAGGGACAAGTGGATAAGAAAATTTTCTCTTACTGTGCCTTCTTAATATGACGGGCCAATCATGGCGCTTACTCAAATCCTGGTACATAGGTGGGGGCCCGGAGCAAAGATTTCGGCACTGTTTTACAGACGGACTTAACCAGAAGTGTAGGTTCGTCTGAGGCGCTGACTAATCAAGTGTGAACACAGACTTAAATTTCACAATATCTCTCACTCGACTATATCAACAGTCACACACCCTGATCAATGACAGCCTTATATTCTAACCATCGTACGCCCCCATCTAAAGTATTGTGCAGTCATCGGGGATTTTACCAAACAACGACGACAACGGCAACGACAAAGACAACGTCCACTGCATGACTACTGTATGAAATCCCCAAATGCTACGTTTTATTGAGGACGTGAACATACGAAGACGAATTTGCCTATCTCTTCTTTCACTTCGATGGGCCAGTCTCGGACAATTCGACTCTCACCAGTTGACAAATAAGGAGTAATTGTGATTAAGTTTGAAAGATCGCAAATACATTTGATTAGTGACGTGGTTGCGTAAGTTTCCTAATTTAGTGACGTGGTTGCGTAAACTTCCTTATGTACTCTTATTCGCACCCCTTGACTTTAAAGTTTCGTCTGCTAGACGCGAGGTTATCTTCATTCGGACAGCAGCTCTCGCCTGTTTTTAAAACGAAGAGTTGACGTTAAGTCTAACTGATGTACGGGAAAAAGGTAATAAGGGTTTAAAAAATAAAACTGAACGCCTCCTTACATCTTGTAGCCAAGCTGGCGGCACGCTACTCTCGCTCAGACTTCTGGGGTCGGACCCAGGCCCCGGAGTTCGAGGTGAACGGCCAACTCCCGAGTCTTTAGTCAAGTCTCCGTACAGGTAATTCCCATCGGCTGGACCACTGTCTTGATTGATATCCAGTCTCATTGGATCCGAGAAAACAGAGTCACTTTGATCACCGGCTGCTTGAAAAGAACATGTTCCTTAAACATAAGGGTCTAGTTTTGTTATTTAGAGCCATATTTAAACAGTGAAACTATTTTCTGTCGTCTGTAGCAACGGGACGGCAAGGATAGACATAGAATACAAATACAAATACAAGACGCTGTAAGAAAGAAGAAAAGTAGGCTACTTACACGATTGAGATTCCAAAGAGCGTCCTGATGACCCTGCGCGCTTGACAGTGCGCGAACTAAGAACGCGCTCCGCCACAATAAGCGAATTCCAGTGTCTGCACGCCACGCACGAGAGCACGTGTAGGGCGCCAAAAATCGGGCGCGGGACTGCAGTGCACGGGATTCCACCCTTGGCACGCATTAGGCTGTCCGTCAACACGCCAAGCCGACCATTATCACCCCTCCCCCATGAGTAGATCTGGTTATCTGAGGAAAGAAACAACAGTTAAAGACCGAAAGGTGGCGAAATAAAGTACAGTTAACTGGCTTCCTAGTGTTTAAACCAATGTACGTAATAAGTTGTTACCAGCAGTAGCCACAACTGTAAAGTCATCTCCACATGCTGCTTGAACAATCCGTTTGCCAACCATTTCGCCACCCACGATACAAGGTCCCGTTCGTGGCTTGAAGTCTCCCAATCCTAGCTGGCCAAACTTGTTGGAGCCCACTGTTATAAGCCGACCGTAGGCTGTGAAAACCCAACATAATATCTCAAAAGGTTATTAGGAAGTTTAAATTCTATTCGTGCGAAAATTACCAAGAAAGAACGAAATTATTTAAGGCTTCCTATCAAAACGTATGCGTTGTTTAGACTAGCATGACAAAGCCTCCACGATTGATACCTCGATAAATCAGCAACCTAAGTAAAACTTCTTCTACTCTCCTAGCCGAGGAACTGATATCACAAGAAGATAAGGGTGGATTTCAACTGCAGCGTAACTTTTAAGTGCTTACGCTCGTAAAATTTCCTTCCATAAATAAAATAGAGGCAATGTATGAAGTGTCGTGTGTGAACGTAAAAGTTGAGCGAGGTTCAACTTTTATATTTACGCGCGACACTTCATACATTGCCCTAAATTTACAGGCGTAAAATTTACGAGCGTAAGCACCTTAAGATTACGCGACAGTGGAAATCCACCAATAATGAACAAAGCCGTGTCACTCTTACCATCTATTACAGCAGAATGTGTCCTTCCAGCTGAGACAGAGGTTATACTATACCTTAAAAAACAATAACAACAACATCATCAACAGCAAAAAACGTAAGCATAAACTTCAACCAGCTTAAACACAGCATCAAACCAGTCAAACGCGCAAACGACGTTTCAAAACCTCAAAGTTAATGATTTAGCTTACTTTCTCTACAAAAAGAACTAACTGGCCCAGGGTCGGTGTTCTGTAGAATAATACTACGAGACTGTTTTGGGGGTAGGGGTTGGGAGTAGTGGTGGTGGTGGGGAGGGGGGGGGGAAACTTCGTAATGCCAGTGAAAGAGGTGATGGCATCCAGAAAACACGAGGCAACGAAAATATATCATATTCCAGACTGAATCACGACATTCAACTAGAAAATTAGAATCAGAATCAGAATCAGGATCAGTTTCAAGATAAACAATTCTGTTGGTAGCCAAAAAGCTGTATTCTGTTAGGGTGCAACAATTTACCGAGACGCAAACGTCTTCACTAGCACTGACTGTGTAAAACAGTTCACCATGTCACTAGAGAAATTTAGGCATCAATTACTAATTACATTAATAACTTACTAATTGTAAAATAACATTCGTAAGAAGTTTGGGGAGCAGTTCTGTGTTGGTAACAGCTCCAGCCTTCTTTAGTCTACCAAACTCCCCACCAATGGTTTCAAAATGTTTCTTTTCGATCAGATAAAAGTAACTTTGTGTAAAAAGTACTCACTTGTTAAGAGGCATTACAGGTTTGGGGAGGGTGAGATAAGGAAAGTGACCAGAGACAGACTGAAAATTAAAAAGCAGAAAAACGGGTGAAATACTATCCTGTCTGCACATTTGACACTTTAGAAACGACAAAAAAACTGGGTCGTGTAAACTTTCGCAAAGACTTCTGGGGCTGTTGCTAAGGACACGGAAAAAAATTGGCCAATAGCTGACCGGCGTGTCCCCAGCAGCGATCCCAGAAACAATTGCGGGCACATTTCGGCTCCAGTTCCCTTCGCGTTTCTAAAGTGACGAATTGGTTGTACCGTCAGACGAAATTTGAGAGTTGTCTCCGTTAAAAAAGTAAACGAGGATGTACTCAAATAACGAACCTTTATTTGCCTTTTTCTTAGTGACTGTGGTGTATCGATTCCAAGCTGGTTCTCGTCGTTGTTTCCAAAACCGAGAAGTCGCCCAGTTGCAGTGAGTAGAAAGGTGAAATCAGAACCGCAGCAGACGGATACCAACCGACACTGTGCTGGTACATCCACCTACAACAAAACAATGCCGAAAGAAAACTTAAAAAACAATCCCCAAAATGCCAAACATCTTTTGATAAAATTCTAAGAAATAAATATTACCACGCAAAAGTTCTGTTGAAGAGATTTAAATTGAATGGTAACATCATAGAAATTTGTTCACAGTTAGACTGACAGATCATCTTGCCATAACTTGATCTAGAATTAAAGGGGTTGACCATTTATGGCCACAATGGTGGCAGGCGAGTGCCTCTAAATTGTCCACTGCGCAACTTTTGCTCCGCAAAAGCCTCCATCACGACTCCCTTGTGCATCCCGTCTCGCCACGGTTCTAGAAAATTTCAAGACAGGTTGCAAGAAAAATTGCCTGGCGTAACATTCAAGCGCAATGCATGTCAAGTTACCTTCTGTGGAGCAGCGCAATCATCTTCATTTCCCAGCCCTAAACGACCTATAAAGAAATAGAAAAGAAGGTTTACAGTAGCATTAGTTCCACACTTGTCCGCAGGCCTATTCGCGCGGTGAGCGAAGGAAGACTGGGAACGAAGCTGCATCAGTCCATCATTTATTAAGGCAAGCGGAATTGAATAAATATAATCCGCGAAAATTAACATGGATGAGACGGCGTCCCTCTTTTTGGCAAACCCAGGCAGTTCCAAACATAGTTTTTTACAAAACAAAATCTCTTTAGAGCTTACCATACTCTCCACAACCCCAAGAGTAAACTTCCTTTGAAGCTGAAACAAGAGAAGAAAGGAGTCAAAAGCCTAATTAGGAAGACATAAAACACAGCAACTGTTGAATGACAACGCGTTATTTACTCATGACATCTTCGCTACAAGCTTGTACACATACAGTCACAAACAATGGAAGTCAGTTTTGCATCAACATCAAATCAAACTAATAGGCTGTTTTAGCAACAGAACGGGAACGACAGTTGACGGCCCGAAAAAGCGCGGGAAGGACTAAACGCGACTTCCAGTGCCCAATTTGCCGCTCTACCATTGGTGAAGCCAGTTGTTTGATTTGCGCGCGCCGTCATCAACTAACGTTTCCGTTCTGTCGCTAATTGCCCACCCAGAGTGTGAACACATGACGTCAAGCGTACGAAGCGTCAAGTTCGATATTATAAAAGTCAGTTATACAATGCGTTTGCTATTTCTGATGTTTGTAACCGCAGTTTGTGTGTTATTCCTTTTAGACATGAGGTCAAGTCCGGCATATTGATGCCCCAAAACAACGAGACGGTGCAAACGTCGGTGTCTCAAACCAGGGGATTGAACCTTTTTCTTACTTAAAAAAAATCTCTTGTTCCAGTAAATTTGCATAGCTGCTGGTGACGTGAATGAAAACGCTCAGAGCGTTTTCAACGCGGCCTGCAGCTATGCAAAGTTTATTGGAACTTAACAAGTTTCTTAAAAAATTTCTTTTGTTCCAATAAATTTGCATAGCTGCTAGCCACGTGCATGAAAACGCTGTATATTTCAATCACGTGGCCACTCACGTGGCCAGCAGCTATACAATGTTTATTGGAAAAAAAGAAAGCATTTACATAAGAAAATAGTTCAACTTGCACAGCATTGGTTTGGTACACCAACATGACCGCCGTTTTATTGTTTCAAGACACCAATATGGCCGCCGTGACGTCATGTGAAAACGCTCAAAACAGCTCTGTGGTTAGTAGACGTTAAGAAAAATTTCAGAAATACATCTACAAGACGCAAATACACAAATGATGGGTCTCTCAGAGAAGATGATGGTTTATCACAGTGGTTCAATTTGCCAAAACAGTTTTAATTGAAAAAAATACATCATGGTGCGTATGGTAACTGTTTGCCTCAGAAAAGTTTTTTGCCTTTTATAGGAAAGTGAGTTCGCTAAGCATCAACGTGTACTGCGTCAAGACAAAGGCAACCCACCTGTTAGCGCCACAACATGGCACTCTCCACAGGCAACCTGCTC